CCTCCTGACCTTCTGCGGCCTGAGCTTCTTCGGCCTCAGCTTCTTTGGCCTTTGCTTCTCGGTCCAACTCCTGTTTCCAAGCCTGCTGGTCCATTCGAGTCAAGTCAACCTGCTGGTCAAACACCGACAGGAGATTCTTTGGAGCCAGGCCGCTGTACTCCACAGTGGGGCATGCCGAAAGTGCACCTGCTAGGCCCGCTTTGGTTGAAGTCTCCTCTTTGGCTAAACCTCCACTCTCGCAAAGTTTCACAGCAGGCTCTGCCATCTCAGGCTTGGGCTGCGAAGCTCCACCAGAAGGCTTTGCCGTCTCAAGCTTTGGCTGCGGCTGCGAAGCTCCACCCTCAGAAGAATGCTTTGGCATCTCAAGCTTTGGCTTAGAAGGCTCTGGCATCTCAAGCTTTGGCTGCAAAGCTCCACCATCTGGCATCTCAAGCCTTGCCGGCTCAGCCTTTGGTGCCGGATTTTCTTCAAAGTGGTGGGCCTTCTCCCCTGCATGTCCATAGTAGATGTTGGCGATGGGAGACAAGTCACACGGAAGCGTATCTTGCTGGTCAGGGCTGATGGCACGCAAGCCCTGCGCCACAACAGGCTGAGAAGGAGCTACGACTTGGGAGGCCATTTGCTGTTTCGCCGCGTCCAGCTTCGACCTGTTCATGGTCTGAATAGACCACAAATAGAACGGAAAATCATTGAACATGTAAAAACATGAGGGGAAAATAGAAAGCTTGAAGTAATGCAACGCCAAAGCTCCTCAACATTGCGATTCTTTGGTCCAGTGTCAAGCCCTCTGTGCTGGTTGCTTGACTGGGCATCTCCTCGACAGGCGCTGGTGCCACATCCGACTTTGACTTTGGCGGACTTATGCGCTCGATGTTGCTAGCTGGAACCCCCAAGGCCGCAGCCAGTTCCACATCATCGAACTCCGGCACTTCTTCAACCTCTTTTTCCACAGCAGCCACTGTTTCAGTGCTGCCGGTCTGCGTGTAGGCATCGGAAGTGTTGTTAGACATGAGCTTGGGCTTGGATGGCTCCGGCCAATGCTTCCGAAAGCGAGCGTACACGTCGTTCAGGACAGGGTCCTGATGTGTGAGCTCAACAGAAAATGTAAGAAGAGGAAACTAACTTTCAGACCAGGAGGGAAAAATAGAGACAATGTAATCTTGCAAAAAAGTGTCTCTTTTCGTCGTAGATGCATAGAGCCTGTGGCGAATGTAAGTCACAAACTCCTTCATGGCCACAGCGTCGCAATGAACCTTTGCGGGCCTGTTAGACATGTGCAGCTTCTCCCGGGCTTGTCTTACCTCCACATGACTGAAAGATAGACGCACAAACTTAAAGTTTTGACGGGGAAATGCTTTCCAAACAAAGTCAAACCCCCTTTAAATCATAGGAGTTAAAAGTAGGAAGGGCGCCTCGACTTTCAGCTGATTGATAGGGCTGTCCCATTGAGGGCACCAAAAGTCCGCAACTGCAATCAGAAGTCTGGCATTCAAGCGCACCGCATCAGGGTTGTTGCAAAGGCCAACTTTCTCTGGACTTGGCCAGGCTACCAAGCAATCGCTTGCCAACATCCTGTCTCTCAAGGCAGGATCATTAGCTATCACATCGGCGAACCCTTCCATGGACATACCCCTCAAAACCTAAAGACGGGGTAGATCTTGGGACCTAGACTTGAGAAGCAAAAGGCTCCGGCGCATTCATTTTCTTCAGTCCGATGACGTTGTCTCAAATCCCCCGCAGCGCCTCGTTGCGAAGGCCATCTGGCACTTTAGCGCCATGCGGCCTGTGCGGCAGTGAGTGGACGGCGGACGGGGCGAAAGGTTCACACCAGTTGTGCCCAGCCAAGTGCATGACATGACACTGGCTTTTTCCAACACTTTCTCCATCATTCTTGAGTGTACTAATCCTCATGTTGAGGACTCACCAGTTCCGGGTTTGGCAGCCTCATCTGGTGGCTTGCCTGGGCAAAATCTAGTTGGTTGAGATTTCTAGCTTGGGAGCATGCAAAAACAAACGTTTTGCAACACAAAAAGTGAAAGGCCGTAAAGTAAGCTAGGTACCGTGTTCTGAGACACAGTGGCGATAAATGTTGGCAAGCTCGCGGGCAAACCCTCCATCCTTGTAGTTCGCAATGATGCTAACCAGCGTTTCATCTGTGATGGGAACCTAGCGGCATAACTGCGCATACAGACCTCAGCACTTGAAGCCAAGATCACGTCTCAGACCTGCCTCAGAGTCTTCTTTGCTAAAAAGGACTGCTGCGACTTCGTCGAAGAACTTTTTTGGGAAAGCTGGTAAGTCCTGGACAACAACCGGTTTGTACATGCCCTTATCATTCAACAACAAAAAGGGTTTACAGGGCCCCTCCTTCTGCTTCTGCAAGTTTGATTGTATCCGGGCTGCAACCTTCCAACGCCATGCAACCCAGAACAAACTGCAGTCGTTTGATCGATTTTGAGCCAAATTGAGCTGGGATTGGGTCTCAATTGCTTTTCAAAGAAGCTACAACCAAAAGACTGTGTGGCGCAGAGAGCGGGAGAACGCGCGCCTGGATCTATCAGTGTAGAAGTGCCAGGATGTGCCAGGGCTATGAACCAAATGGCTACCAGAACTGATCAGACCGGTTTCCGCCCACTCACAGTGGACTCCGCCCATTCACAGTGGATTCCGCCCTCCGGGCAGAAATCTGTGGAGTGGTCAACTATTATAGCCTTCTCGAGGCTCCAGGTATGCGCACGTCCTTGTGTGTCCGTGACTTTGTAGGACTTCCAGGGTGGTGCCATTGCAACAAGTACGAGCCTTGGCAGT